GGGCAAGCGGCCTTACGGACATCGATGTCAGCCATTTTTCAAAAGACTGATGTGCTGTTGACATGAAAGTTACGATACATTGACATTACAATTGCGATGTATTGTTGAAGAAAGTTTGAGGAACAGTGCCAAATTGAAATATTAACTTAACTGATTTTAAGTAGAAAAAAAATAGGAGGCATTAATTTTTGACTGCCCCTTGTATTTTGACTTTTTAACAGCTTTCGCCTATTCAACGCTGTCTGATGATATTTCGTAAGGCAACTAGCAGAAATGAGTTCTCTAAAATGTGATACCTCGTCTGAAATTACATCCTTGCACCACATAAACCAACTTTGGTTTCAGTTAGATACAAATATGCAATCCTTTATAGAGCACAAAAGAAATCGGCTTGTGCAAAGTCACATATAGTATAAGAGTTCGTATCGAATATAAACTACCGAATATCGTATTGTTGAATTGCATTAGAGGAGATATACGATACGAAAACACTAAGGTACTTCATTTTCAATGTTCAATGTTACAAACTAGTTTCTAGAATAAGTACACGAGTTTCTATTTCTTATGCGTAAAAGATATTGTTATTTTATGGTTCCTGCATGCAAAAGATGTCTCATCTCTTTCAACTTCTCCAATTAACGATTGTTGGAACAAGATTAATATGGGCGCATCTTTAATCTGCTCAGGCAGGTGATAGGAACATTATTTTTACTATTCATTTAATAAACTACAAAAATATAAAAATAATATAAGGTTCACGTAATTCAAATTCTATATTCATCTGAATCCATCTTCTTTGCTAAAGAAAGCCCTGGCATCATGTTAACAAGGATGGAGACAATGTTAATTATGTAACACTCAAACTCTACAATATCATACTGGGCTTAAAATGTTTTGTGGAGATACAGCTACCTCCTAAATATTTATAGAAGCTGTAAATGTTTTGTATTGTGGGCAATTCAATGATCAAAGAGGTCTCAATAACATCGCCACAGATTTTAGATATTAACTTCCCCTTAATCAAGTATTTTTAAATATGTATCATTCATCTTCTAAGAAGTTGAAATTTTCTTTCCCATTTAGAATGTTAAAAATTATTTCTGAGTTCATTTTTTAACAATTTTCTTTAATTCTCTTTTTCTGCAAATGATTCAATTCTGAAAATTTTCTGGAAATGCAGAACAGTACAGTGAAAGAAAGGGCATTTTCTCAAAAATGTACAAAACCTATTGCAGTTAATTTTTTGTTAACTTTCAAAAAGGTTTAAGAGTAATATAAAGATTACTGTAAATTTGTTCAATGACAATGCTACTTGTTTTTATATTCTTTCACTTTCCAATAAATTGTCATTTTATCTTTTACAGAGGGCCGGGTTGAAGTATCCAGGGAGAGCAAATACCTCAGTACACTCGCTCCTGGAAAGGTCTTTGGAGAATTGGCAATTCTATACAACTGCAAAAGAACTGCAACTATAAAAGGTATGCCATAACACTTACAAATAATTATTTTCACTTTTTATCAAAACTTATTGTTAATTTTATAATATTATTTTGGGAATTGTTAATGATAAATGGGCACTTTCACAAAAAATACCCTATTGAAAAATTGAACTTTGTGACATCTTAATGTTACTTCTTTACAGCTGCCACTGACTGTAAATTATGGGCAATCGAACGACAATGTTTCCAAACTATTATGATGCGTACTGGCCTCATCAGGCAGGCCGAGTACACAGACTTCCTCAAGAGGTAGGTTGACTTTATCATCACCCATAGGTGTAAGTCATTCAATTTGCTTCTATGTTCTTATTAAGAGATGAGACTATTCAGTTTTTATACAAGTTTACAAGTTACACAATCCTCTAGATCAGTTGTTTGTTTTCACTTTGAATTCTCTTGCCAGTATTTTGAAAAGGGAAAAGAACATCCAATTTCAAACAGATCCATCAACAACAGGAGTCATTGTTTGTGTACACCAGATCAACATGTTTTCTGAAAATTGTTCTGGGATAACTTTTAAAAATGAATTTTGTTAAAAAAAGTATTTTATATTCATCATAACATACCACTGAAGAAAACTTGAAGTATATTCAATACATTTGTTTCTCTATTTTAGTGTTCCTATCTTCAAGAATTTACCTGAAGATACTTTGACCAAGATCTCTGATGTATTAGAAGAGGTGAGTGATAAAACAAACATATTTACCCACTTAATTTATCAAAACAAAATGTAGAAGGTTTCTAAATATTTGTTACAACATTTAATGTGATTTGCTTATCTACTTGACTTACTATATAATAGACAGTCTTACTAAAAAAAGACAATTAAAAATATATTCTTCATACAAAAAAAGAAGGAAAAAAATCAACTGGTATACATTATCTAAAAATATTCAATAAATTTTCTAGACTTTCTACAATGAAGGAGACTACATCATTAGACAAGGAGCCAGAGGAGATACTTTCTTCATCATTAGCAAGGGCAAAGTCAAGGTCACAATTAAGCAACCAAACACCTTGGATGAGCAGTATATACGGACTTTACATAAGGGTGATTTCTTTGGTGAAAAAGCACTGCAAGGGTGAGTGTTTGTTTCAGTTATTCAGTGTACTTCAGGAGTTTACATTGTCTGCCAATTTTTATCATATATATTTGGTAATAATATTGCATATCACTAACAAAATGTATTGTTTTTGAAATTATATACTGAAGTGGTTATCAACCTTCCTTGAATGGACTAATTCAATACAGTTCTTATAAGGTTTTGAACAACATGTGAATATTTTGTTTCAGTGATGACTTGAGAACAGCTAACATCATTGCAGATGACCCTGATGGAGTGACTTGTTTGGTCATAGATAGAGAAACCTTCAACCAACTCATCTCTAATTTGGATGAGATCCGTACCAGCTATAAGGATGAAGGAGTGGAAAGGAGAAGGCAAGTATTCCACTTTCCTTGTTGTCTTTGTCATACCAAGCATATCTTTCTACAATTGTCCCTGTTGAAAATTGTTCTCTGACAGATTTTAATATTTTGTCTCTCGAGGTCTAGTTTGGGGAATTTCTTTCTCAAAACCTGATAACTTTCTTCAATATTTTAATCTCATTACATTTTCTTCACCTTCGTTCTAAATGGGAATAAAAGCTACAGAACTTACTAATGCAAGAAATTGAAAAAGAAAGAAAAATATTGCAGTGGTTTGAATTTCTTATTGCTCAATGGGTTTTTAAATTAATATGTAAGACAAGATGCATTAAATGTGAAGATAAATATATTTTTGATTATTACATAATTTTTGCATTCATTATATTACAAAATTTGACTGCAAATACAATTAGATTACACATAAAAAAAATTGAAATCCACATTTATCCTGAGTGACTATTCTTTTATATCCTCAAATTACTGTTTCTCTTCAAGCTTCATTAAATTGGAAAGGAAGGGTAAGTAATGTTTCCTTTTGCTCAAAAGCTCTGCTTTTATTATTATGACTGTTATTTTTCTAATTCTTCTATGCAATATATTCCCTTTTCTTGTCTTGTTTAATTTTATCATATTTCTTTATTTCTCTATGTTTTGGTGATTTATTGTAAGTCATGTTATGTTTTGCCAGTTGTTTGTTTTATAAATCCACCTTAGAAGGTTGACGTACTTCCAATGAGCTAGTTTATAGTGCTATAGAATATACTATCGAATATACTACTAGTATATTCTAGCTCATTGCATATTTCATATGTTTTGCATTAATTGTATCAACAATAAAATATACAATGATGGTATTGAATGTATTTTCTAGATTAAAATGAAGAATTAAGATTATAGTTAAAATTTAAAATATTAATCTTAAAATTCTTAATATTAAGAATTTCAAGAAAAAAATTTTAATTCAATTTTTCAAATCTTTCTAATTTTTGCATATAATTAAATTACTAAATTATTTCTGATATTGTTTCCTTTGTAAAGAGAAAGATAAAAGTTGTTTTGTAAAGAAATGTACTTTGTGGAAAGGAATATTTTGTAATTTTTAATTTTATTTTTCTTAACAATCTTTTATTGATAGTAGAAATATATATTATTTTTAGCACCAACTTATTTGTTTGTTGTTGTTGTTTCTTTTAACAGGATTAATGAGGAGTTCAGGGATGTAAAACTAACTGACCTGCGAGTTCTGGCAACATTGGGTGTTGGTGGTTTTGGCAGAGTTGAGTTAGTTCAAATTTCTGGAGATCCAAGTCGCTCATTTGCTCTCAAACAAATGAAGAAGAGTCAGGTATAGTAATTTTGTAAAGCTCTAAAACAACAATTATTTGCTTTGACATCAGTCAACAGATAGAATTAAACATTTAATTTTTAAAAGCGCAAAATGTGAGTTAAAATTGGCATTAAACTTTGTGTAGTAATGGTTCTCTAATTATCAAAAGCATTAAAATTCACATTTCCAAGTAGTGATATTCAATCTTCCAAAAATAATTTCCATTGCTCTTTATTATCAAGCTTTCATAAACAGGTGTAGTTTGTGGTAAGAGGGCTATTTGCATACGAACTCTGTAGGACTTCTGAAAGTGTATATAAGTTCTCTTGTACTTACTTTACTCATCAATTGGTGATTTCAGATCGTGGAAACACGCCAGCAACAGCACATTATGTCTGAGAAAGAGATAATGAGTGAAGCTAATTGTGAATTCATTGTCAAACTCTTTAAGACCTTCAAAGATAGAAAATATCTATATATGCTTATGGAATCCTGTCTTGGAGGAGAACTTTGGACAATTCTAAGGTATGAGTCCTTTTAAGTCACAATTCTAATTATCAACTTCATTGGTTAGTTGTTTTATTTGGAACAATTTTGCAAGTGAGCCATTGAATTTGAAATGGATATTTTTTACCTGCAGAGATAAAGGACACTTTGATGATCCTACTACACGATTCTACACAGCTTGTGTAGTGGAGGCTTTTGACTATTTGCATAGCCGTAACATTATCTACAGGGACTTGAAGCCAGAAAATCTTTTGCTTGATATAAATGGTTATGTGAAACTTGTGGACTTCGGTTTTGCCAAGAGATTGCAGGTAAGCATATCATAAAAAATGAATAGTTATTTGAACAGTACTTAGAAACAATTTATATGTATTGAGACCTTGAATGAAATACTTCTGTGTGTATTCATGTTGTTCTAAGTAATAAAAAATGATAGCTCTATTTTGCTTCTGTGAATATTATTGATCTTGTTTAACTTGTTAATCTTTCAATACTTTTCCAGTAAATAAATGAATTTAATGGTTGTGCTCTTGCCAATGATTTAATTTAAACTAAGTATATTTTATTAATTCTGTTTAGAACATTGATCATAATACAAAAGCCTCTGAAAGGAAGAGATCCCAGTAAATTATTTTTATCTTTGCAGCAAGGACGTAAGACATGGACATTCTGCGGTACTCCAGAGTATGTTGCTCCAGAAGTAATTTTGAATAGAGGCCATGACATCAGTGCTGACTATTGGTCTTTGGGTGTGCTAATGTTCGAACTTCTGACAGGTAAGTCCTCTTCCTTCATAATTAACTCTTAACCACTGGCCCAGCAAAAAGTGACAGTAAAGCTCATCTGACTTGACAGACTACCACAATTTAAAAAAATAATAATAGAAATTTATAGGATTATTATAATTATAATAATACAATGTTTCTTCCTTAGAGTATGAGAAAACAATATCCTCTTTTGTAGAGCCACACATACTATTTCCCACACTTTAACTTTCAATGGGCAATAATGATAGAGATATTTTCTTGTCTGTTTTTCTTTTGTCTTCCAGCATTGATTAGATTTTTGCAATGTCAACGTTATCAAATATTGTTTTCCTTTCCGATCACTCTCGGCCCTCAGATAAGTAATCTGTATGGTATGAGTAAAGTTAAATCTAAAGAATTCTCTTAATAATTCACAAAGGAAAGAGATATACATTTAAGCCTGTGATATGGTGATCTAAGGACAACTTTCTAAATACATTGTACTTGTTTGCAGGTACTCCACCATTCACAGGTGCAGACCCAATGAAGACGTACAATATCATACTTAAAGGCATTGATGCTATTGACTTCCCTAGAAATATCACAAGGAATGCAATGGCTCTTATAAAAAAATTGTGCAGGTAAATAAAAAGCTGTTGTTGATTATTAATTATATAAAATGAAATTATTTCTCTACATTACGTGATTTACTTTTGAAACAAAATCTTTACTCTGACTTATTTTGATAATGCATTCAATTTTCCTTCTCATGCAATCCATTTTTAGAATTCCAGGTAACTATATTACTTGCATCATCTTTAACATAAAAACCAAATAAAATTATTACAAAAATGTGTCATCAAATATATTATTTCATTAAGGATATAAAAAAAATATAATTATTGTTTATATTATAATTTATTACTTGCTACTTAAAGGTTAAAACTCAATGAAATAACAACTAACAAACAAATGTCATTTTCAGAGATAATCCAGCAGAAAGGCTTGGTTATCAGAAAGGGGGAATCAGTGAAATACAAAAACACAAGTAAGTGATGAGCTTTTTAATAAATCTACCTTTAAACTGACAGGTATCATTAAATACATTTTAAATAATGTATATTTTATTTTATTCTAGATGGTTTGATGGCTTCAACTGGGAAGGTCTTCGTAATTTGACTTTAATTCCACCCATTATCCCACAAGTGCGAGGCGTCACTGACACTAGTAACTTCGATGAGTATCCTGCGGACAGTGATGGCCCTCCTCCTGATGATCTCACGGGATGGGATGCAGATTTCTGAGCAATACGGTTGCCAGGCTCCAGAGCCAGCACAGGGCCTGTGCAGCACAGATGAACTGAAGTAATTGGTGAAACCCTGAAGAGATATAATCTCAATGTCATTAAGAATAATAGTTCCTGATGCTTGACTGCAGTCACTGTGCAAGTCAATCTTCTCCATTATTGCGTGAAGTACCAAGTCATGTCAATTAGTGTTTGTTGTGGCAATTTAATAGTTAGGCGTGGACAGGTACTTCCCTACCAAATCATGAACATTCTGAATTCCAACAATTTTATTAGAATGCCTTTATATGTCATGACTTGGTTTGTTGTTTCTCAGCTAAAGACTCCAATTGATACAACTATCAGAAAAACTGATGTGACCAAATTGTTTAGTCATTTGCTCATGTTATAAATAAGTCCTTTTATGGATGATTTTTGAAGGTTATATTTGTTTTTTGTGAGTATGCACCAGACAATATGGAAAGAATATTTGCCGACATATAAGTTACACATCAGATCTTTTATAGTTTACAGAACTTGCTGGTGTCTTTCTAACAATGGGCCTTGACTAGTTCTGGAGCAAGGTAACATAGGTGCTGTAAAAATAGTGTAAATGCAACACTTTGTTCCAATAATGGATGTTCCATAACAAGATGAGGATCTTGGAGAGACGGTGCTGATCAGTTGATCAACTGTACAGTATATGTTTTCTACTTATTAGTGTGTATTTCTGCGAGGGAAGTTTCCATATTTATTGTTTCTCTTTTATCATATTGATGTGCCATGAAGCCAATGCATAACTTGAATGTAATTACAACTAACGTGAATGAAAATATTTTTTTTGAGGCTTGTGTGGTGGTATATTTCTGCAAATAAGATTTAAGAATTAAGTTACAGACTGACATGTGGAAGAATAAGCATGTAGCAAGTGACTATATGTCAAGTAGGTGCTTTAGTGGTATTTATTCTCTCATTTGTCAGTCTCCTTCAACTTGCAAAATAGCAAATGTACTAATGCATGATGTGTGCCCCAGGAGAGTTTTTTTTTTATTTCAATAAAGCAATAGATGTTTTATATGCAAATAAATTCTAAAATAGCATAATATATACGCTGCCTACTAGTTGATCTGATTGATCTTGAGGTATGCATCTATCATATATTAATAGTAGACAAAAAATAATTAGTTTAATGTGATGATGAAAGTGCAGGTCTCCATCGTTTCTAAAAGTAGAAAGAACTAATATCTTCCCCTATCTGTCATTATTGTGCATTGCCAAATCAGATTGCATGTAGATCAACATATGATGTGGTGTAATTAGACTGATGGGGCAAATTAGAATTATGAATTGTCCCATTCTACCTTTTCTTCTTTTTCGATTAATAATTTTGCATAAGTGAGCTTTGAATTTGAAACTCAGTGTATCAGTACTGTACTAGAAGTGCCTGTGTTTTCTATGAATGTTAACAAGTGTATCTTTTTAACCTCATGTCTGTGGTCTACTTACCTCATGGTTAACTTCCTCCAGTGTTTGCACACTGTTGTTGAATTGTTCACATTGTTATGTTGTATCATAGATAATAGACATGAAGAAAAGAGTCATTGTATCCATTATAAGTTAAAATAATTCAGGGGTGCTGGAACAAACTCCAATGGAATAAACCCTATAAATAATTGTCCTCAAAATTAAATAAATGATGAAACTGAAAATGTATTTGAGTTGAAAGATTGTAGTTACGTATTGAAACAACATTGAAAGTTTTACTGATTTTTTTATTACATAAAATATATTTTTTATGCATTGATTAAAATGTATAATGTAAGTGCCGTTATTTGAAATTTGTTAAAAAAAATGTAAATTCACCATATTCGTATAAATGTTTATAATGAAGGTTTTATCCTGTTGTAAAACCTTGATTTTTTCTGACTTATGAAATATGAGGATTTTAAGTAGGATTTTTCCAACATACTGCAATATTATTGTGTTTCAGATGGGTGCACTAAATTTAATTTTGTTGGGAAAACTCGTAGCTGTTTTAAGCACCTGGGTCAGAAAGATCTATGTACATCCCCATGTAACATTTTTTCATGTGCATCACCTAGAAATAGTCCTCTAAAACTATTGTAATCCCAAGTACTTAACACAGCTACTGCAGTGCTAGATTTATCAGATGACATGTTGAGTAAGTACCCCAACCTAATATCTTTTATTTTTGTAATTGGTATGTGTAAGAAACAACAGTAATGTCTGCAATATTCTTGCCAATGCAGATGAAATTACACACTGTACATTGTCTTTTGTTGTATTTGAAGCATAGTTTATAACACTAATGTTAAAATAGCTCTGTAAATAAACTCAAGGAAATTGTGAAGAATTCTAGTAATGTATTTTAAATAATGTTTGTTTTTTTTTTCTAAGTGATTTAACATTCCTGGAGGAAACATAAGCAATAAAAAGGTGGTAATTTCAGAAGTGTATCATTCCTTTTTACCTATACCAAAATTTAAGTTTCCTTTAAACCTTTAGCACTCTCCAATTACTTGAACTTAGATACAAAGGTAGTGTACACATTTTTACTTCATTCCATACTACTTATGTAGTATAAAGAAATTATTGTAGTTTTGTAGCAAAGAAAATAAGATTTTTCAGGTTATCACATTTTGTTGGTCCCTGATTCTGAAAAAGTAAATAGTTCTGGTTCTTATTTGTGGTAAATAACTTCTTCCTTGTTGTGTCGTCAGAATCTGTGTTTACGGGTCCTTGACGCAGCAAAATCAGTATTTGGCAAAATGGCTGACAACCCGTATGTCTGTGAACATGACAACAATTGATATTCCTCAATCAATCTGACTGATGTTGCTGCCCCTTCAATTTTAAACAAAATATTTTGATTTTGGGAGGTACAGATTTATTTATTAACATCAAAACCGGTTAAAACTTGTGTGTGATATACTATGGGGAGAAGTGAAATTTATGCTAGTTTTCTTAATTTTTGGAATCCCTACCCTAACCCATATAAAAGTTGAATCCTAATTACAGGAGGAAATGAGCAGTTTTAGCAAGAATTGATAAGAAAATATTTGTTCTGGTGTAATAATTTAAATTAAGCTCAAGGACATGTTAAAAATTTTATGAGAAATTAATTTTTCCTTCAATTTTTTTCACAAATTGCAAAAAGTACACTTATAAAAATGGTACAGGTCTGATTGTTGAATTTTTTGATTTTCGAAATTCCTTGGCTCTTCCTATAACCACAATATTGAAGATAGTAATTTTTTTCTTAACCAAATTTATTCTTCAAAATTAAGTTTTGCCAATTTGTCATGGGTGGGTTTTATGTAGTATTGTGTAAAATAAAGTTAATTTTAAATTGAATAAATAGAATTTGAAAAATATTTTTTCTTCAAATAGATCATGTTTAAAAAATAGTGCAGATCCCATTGAATTGTGAGAATTTTTGAAAATTGTGAAAGTTGCAGATAAGAGAAAGTATTTGCTGTTGAAACACAAGTTTCTTTCACATACATTAAAAAAGACGACAAGTTCAAACATTTAAAATTGCCTCCTTAATTTAAAACTTCTAAGATTCTTACAATTATCATAACTTTTAATGGAACTGGAAAATAAACCATTGATTTAACAATATATTCACCATAAGGATCACCTTGTAGGAGTGAAAGCAGCCTCACACATCACAATCCCTGTCCAGTTACATATTATCAATTAGGAAAAAATAAGTAATTTCATATTTTTCTTTAAGAATGTTGAATACTTTTGTTTAAAGCACATTTGCTTATTGCGACCTGAGAATAAGGATTTTCACCTATTTGACATTTTTGAAATATTGTTTTGACATTTCTCTGTTGTCAGATCTACAATCTATCAAAACAATTTGCAAACCACACTTTAAGAAAACTTTCTATCAATAAAATGTTACAGCATTTTGCATATTACAGAGTTGACTTTTAAATCAAGCTCTTAAATGTAAAATTTTCTCAAAATTGCACAGACCTGTCATTCTGAGGCTGTGATATATTGTAAGAAATATCTTATCCTTATATGGTCTGTAGATTGCCTCTCTAAGATAGGGTTGAAGATTGCATTTAGAACCCTACCCATATTGCCAATGAAACCAGATCTCTAGCAAAATTTAAAATATAAAAAGAAAACCCTTTAAAAAAAAGAACAACAGTAATGTCTGCCATTTTCTTGCCCATGCAAATGAAATCACACACTGTACATTGTGTTTGTTGTATTTGAAGCATATTTTATAACACTAATCTTAAAATAGCTCTGTAAATAAACTCAAGGAATTTGTGAAGAATTCTAGTAATGTATTTCCAATATTTTTTCCTGTGATTTAACATGGCACTTTTAACGTCAAATGATACACTATAATTAAATGTTTAACAAGAGATCAACTTCTGGTTGAAAAAGGTATCCTATTCTGACTGTTGTGTTGTCAGAATGAGACATTTAATATACTTCACCCATTTCATTTGAAGAAGTTTGATGATTACAGCAGCAATATCAAGGTTTAAGTAATAAGATGCTAAATGCAACAGTGACCAAACATAATGAATTGCATATTAAATTTGTGGTACAAGTATAATGGAAAATCATGAAAAAAATATGCAACCCTGCCCTAAACCAAATTCTGACTTCCACTGCTATATAACTTGTGTTGCAACTTGTTGCATTGCAAAGATCAGTTTGTTCTGAATAACGACAGTGACCACCTAACATGGAAGCATATTGGGTTATTGTAGTAGTTTTTAAGATCCACTAGATACTACAGGGTTTTGCATGTCCCATCAGGCCACTTTTTGGAGGACAGATAAGTTCTGGCATGTCACATGTTTTGGGAAATGGGTGAGGGACAGGTGAAGGGTAGGTGAGAACATCTGGGGAAATGAAGGGTACAGGTGGGACCCGGATTATGTTCTTACACAGTATTCTACAAAATATGATATTTTCGATCTCTCTTGTACAATTTTACAGATTTAAATATTTTGGGTGCCCTCACTCAATAGCATGGGTGGTCAGAAAAGTGCAGAGGCCGAAATCTATATAAAATGAAATTGAAGGAAAAATACCAAAATAATCTTTCTTGACAAAATGAAAGGGACTATTTGATTTTTTGTGCATTTTAATCTCAAAGATCGCCAATATTGGATTGGTTTCTCTCACACAGTACCAGACCTATAATTGCAGCAACACACAGTTCAGGAGATGGCCGTTTATGTCATCTTATTGAGTACATTTAGCACTATCCCTACCAAAAGTTTAAAGAAAAAATTTGAAGCAATTTTTCAGAAAATCTTGTTTTTGTATTTTTTTATATTGCATGAAAATTATTAAAAATTTCAAAAAATGTACATACTCTTAATGACAGAACTAATTATGGACAAAAATTCCATTTGAACGGAAAATCTCGATCTTCAATTTTTTTAGTCATAGGAAAACGCACAATTTTTTTTTTAATTTTCGAAAATTGAGTGTTAAATCTGAAAATTAGACCTATGCCATATTTTACTCTATTCATACAAAAAATTTAAAGAAAAAATTTGAAGCTGGTTTTGAGAAAATTTTGAAAATATCCTGGGGGCTTCATGTAAAGTAACCTCAAATTTAAAATATATTTTTTGAAATCTCAAAGATTCGACTCAAGCCAGATCGACACACGTTTCTTCAATTTGGAAAAAATCCTATGCTTGGTTTAGGCGTTTGTGTTGTTCACATGCACCAGACAGACGAGCGTTTAAAAAAAACACTTTTTCGGTATCTGGGGCCCCCAAAACATGTATTTCCGTTGAAATCTCAAAATTTATTTTCTGCAACATTACATAATTTTCTCTATACTACATATATTCCACCATATAAGTACATATATGTGAAAGTAAAAAGCAACATTTGGCTATAGAGGAGTGATGGTGGTGGGAGGGGAGCTAAGAAACCTTTCAATAATCATATTTTTATCTTAGAGCCATTGTTTATTCATATGTCATTTGATTTTAGAAAATTTTTTATCTGAACTTAACCTTTTGCAGGAAACATTAAAACATATACAAAAATTCAAGTGACTGAATTACAATACAACAAATATGAAATTTGAAATTATACATATTTCATTTGTCACATTACATGGAAAAAAACTTCAGAATAAGCACATTTTTTGCTGATGCAATAATGCACAAAAAATCTATCATATTTATGAATGACAATTGAGATTTAAATAGCATATACTAAGGTAGATAGTCATTAAATTTCTATATATCTTCAGTATAAGTTTTCCACAGCAAACATATCATTAAAATAAATATAACTTTATTCCTGTTTGATAGAAAATATGAATTTCAAACGAACACAAAAAAAAACAAAATGTGAATGCAAACTAATAAAGTGAAGTTCTCAATTAAAGCCAGGGACAAGAAATTAAATATTCTTTAAATAGTTCAAATATATAATTTCAACTCCAATAATGAAAGTAAATGAACAATTGAGAAAAATTATTAGTTTATAATTTTTTTTTTAACTGAAGAGAGTACCAATGTCTTACGCCCAAGCCTTCAAAATTTTATATTTAAAATGATCGATTTGAATTAATACATCTGTTTTTATTAAATAAATAGAAATAAAAACTAACAGATATACTTAGTAAAAGAATTTTACTTAGCCATCAGAGAAATAACAATTAAATAGTATTTTATACAATTATTATACAATCAAAAGAAATATACATTATATGACAAACCAACATCTTTGAATATCTGGCTTCAAAATCAACTAGTACCAAGTTTCACAATTTACATTTAACAATACAACATTGATAAGAATTGCTAGAGAGTATAAAATGCAATTTTCAGAGAAAAAATAATTCATAAAATAAACTGATACACAAATTTAGTTTTTTATAACTAAATACTCTCTCTAAATTATGATTAATATTATCAAATGTTCTGAAATTTAACTAAATTATAATTACATTTTTAAAAGAGTTAAACAAATTCATTTTTAGATTGTAACTTCACACCAAGGATTATGTTAATTATAAACCATTCACTTCATCAGATATTGATACAAAAGACACAAGTACTCCTCTCTATTAATCTCCAGTATTTGACATAAAGTAAAAAACACAATGAAATTATCTTTCTTTCTTTTGCAAGTTGTCATAAAATATCTTTGTATTTTTATAATAAAGGTACTACAGTTTCCTCCAATTTCTTATACATATTATTATTCTTAAGTACCCGTAGAATCTTCTGTTAAGTTGCTGGCAGCTTGTAATAATTCATACAACTGGCGTACCTGCTGGTCATTTAATGCATCAAGCTGATCGGATGATAGATGCAAGCCCAGTGGTTTAGCAGTGCGAGGACCTCGAAGGCCAAGTTGTTCAGAGAGGTTAAGTGCGTATCCCTGCAGGAAAATAATAATATTAGTAGGTTCATTAAAGAGTAAGTTGGTGAACCAACAATTAAAACGGAGGATTGCTATGTTCCTACTGTCACCATCGGTAATTCCAGGGGGAGGGAGGGATTGTACATACTACTTACTGTCCATTCATTCATGAAGACTGACGCTTCTGCTGGATTACATGTCTTATGTCTCTTAAATTCATCTTTAACGTAGTTATTTCCTAGTACTTGTAGCGCCTCCGGCATCCCTCTGTGTAACTTTAAAATTGTTTTGAAAAGGATTCTCACCCTTTGAACGTGAGTGAATTCTTTGCACATATTATTCTAAAAGAACATAACCTCACACAACCCATGCACTTGCGAATACATCATTGTACATTATAATGTTAATAAATACTTATTTACATTTTAAATAAATTAAAAAAGAAAGTATATACGCAGTGTAAACAAATATTTTTACGTATTTCATGATTCCTTCTTGTATTCAAACTTTAACGTAGGACATGTGACGTCATTGCACTAAAACACTTGAACAACTTAGCGCGACTCTGCAAAGGAGCGGGAAGAATGAATTACTTTCGATGCAATTCATATGTGAAAACATATTAAGTTATTCTCACACGTTACGCTAGACTTTATTATGTTATTCCTTTTATTTAAACATGCCACGACAACTGCATTTCTACTGCCTTATTTCCTTCTTCCTTGTTCTTCTCATTATCACTCTTACTTATCACTTAGTAATAATTCGACTGGGTTTGAAGAGATGGGAAATCAGTGAATGATATAGTGATTATAATATTGTTTAGTACCGAGGTACTAACTGGTCTGTTGAATAGTCTAATTGTATTCAACAAACCATTTTCTTTTAACAAAAGTATTTGTGGAATTTGTGAAATCACTTTTAATTCATCTGAGATTTTTCAAAAACATTTTAAAAAGATTATGGGCTTCCTTGATAATTATTTATCAATTCAGGTAATGTAAGCAATCATTTGATATTTAAAATAAAGTTACGGCAATAAGAAGTTATGCAAGATTGCATTATGAACCTACATAAATAACATCATTAATGTGAATACTGTGTACTATTATGCATTAATGCTTGTTAATACAAAGAATTATATTTTTGTTTTGTTTTTGCTGTTACTTCCAATTATTTTCATACTTAGTCTACATAATCTGCCAGGTCATTATCTTTTGCTCACATTGTAGTTTGTGATAATATCTTTGACTTCCTGTCACATAAATTGCATGCTCACACAGAGGATTCTTTTTAAGTACAATCTGTGGGTATTCTAGATATCGTACATTGAGCAGAGTGGCATAATCAACAAGCAGCATTCACTTGTTCATAAATTACCCCCCCCCTACTTGCCAAATACTTACGATAATAATTTAGTCCTTTAGAAATAACTTTACTGTATTTCTTTTCAGAATTATAACCCCAAAATATTATTAATAATGAAACTATTTCTTAAATTTCATATTCTGTATGTTGTTTCATTATTTCTCACATTAAGACTTAATTAATGTTTTAATTGTGCTATGTAGAATTTGACTCTTCACAATCTTCATAATCCAGGGAGTAAATTGCTTTTAAAAGTTAGTAATGTCTTGTGTTTGAAACAAGTTCAGAATTTGGAATAAACATGTCCAATTTTGTTACAGATAAATTATTTTGTGATTCTATTCATTGTTCCAATACAATTTATTCAACTGATGAATCTTTCCCCCTCTGCTTCTTTTTTACTCAAGGCACCCTCCTTGTATATTCTCAGGAATAAATAGAAATATATAAAAATTTAAAAAAAATTGTAGCTAGATAATAAAAAAACAATAGTTATTTGTGGAAAGAAACATCAGGTGGAGTACGATATTCAGATGTCCAGGGATGAAACGTCAAAACTTTGCAAATAAGCTCTTAAGACAATTTTAAGCATATTGACTAATAAACTATTGGGAAATTCTGAATGGTTGAGCAGCAATAACCACTCAAAAGTTGGCATGAAAATATGTTTTTTAAGCAAAAATTTGCATTGCAGAAGAATGGAAACACTCCAGAAACATGTAAATTGTTTACTAATACCAAAGAAATTAATATATTTGTTCCAAAAGAAAAAAATAACCGAGAATTAAAAAGCAGTCAAAATGTGTAAATGGAGTGGGTGCAATATTGCACGAAAAATACGAAGATTTTTCAAAGAATGTACATGACGATAATGAAAGAACTAATTATAGTCAACAATTTTCGTTTGAAGAAAAAATATTTATCTTTAATTTTGTAATTGTGGGAAGACAATTCAAACTGCGATTATCTAAAATTTAGTCCATGGTGAAAATCGAACACATAGCATCTTTATCAGTGTATTTTACTGAATTCTTACAAGAAATTGAACGAAAAAGTTTTGATACATTTTTTGAGGAAATTTCGAAAATAACTCAAGGCCTTCACGTAAAGTGTCCCGAAAAAGTAATGAATGTTTTTCGAAGTGGCAGAGTTTCGACTCAGGCCAGTTCGACATGGGTTTATTCAGTTTAGAAAAAATCGTACATAAAGTTCAGGTGCTAATGTTCACATGCACCGGACGGACTAATGGACTTTTCACCGTCAATCGATTTTTCGGTATGAAGGACCTCCAAAACATGGGTTCCGGCTACACCATGTGTTAGAGTTGTTGTTGTTTTTTATCTAAATTGAGCAACTAGATTTATGAACTTTTTCGATGTAAGACGACTTTTTCGATGTATGCTTCATTAATTCCAAACAGAAATAGTGCGAAAACTACTAACTTTTACAAAAAATTGTATATGACCTTTTTTAAAGAGCTGACCACATATTTTGTATAAGGCAAAAATATCTATCTTCAGTTTTGTAGTTTTGATATTGTTTTGCAATTTTCGAAAAAAAAGAGCAGTACCCAAAAATGGGAACCGCAACCTTTCATAATTATTTACCGATCTTTGCGCTCTCTTCTTCTCCGGTGGAAGTCGCCACAAAGATCTTTCTTCGTATTTTGTTCGCTCCAATGTCCTAATATCACTACCACACGTCAAACGCTGGCAATATGGGACCTTGCTCCTCACTATTCCGCATAGCTAATAATAATCTTACTTGATTCACAGACAAAAATTCCACCATTAATAATCATTCCATTCTTTTAAATCCGACCGATGCTATCTGCCACGCTTATCCCTCAGCCTTGCTCCACGGCCCCTTGTACTCTGACGTCATCTTTTTTTTTTTACCTCGCCGACGTCCCCATAGATACATATTGCAAAAGGGTTCATCTAAAAGCATCTTCCCAATATAATAACAATCCCCAAATATTTCTATTATTTTCGGTGTGTCACAATGGTTCATGTGCTAGCGTTGTGCACAGACAACCGGACAGGCCGACAGACAGACGTTTTGCCGTCAATCGATTTTTCGGTATGAAGGACGAACAAAACATAGATTCTGACTTCACCAAGTGTTAGCGGAATTTGTTTTCTACATTTAACTTCTGGATTTATCCACTTTTTCGTTACCAGGGCCCGGCAATAAAAGTTTTTGTGTAGAAAATTCGTCGTTTTCTGACGCACGATTGCAATACTTTCTCTTCTTACGTTAGTAAGTGCGAGAATGTAAAAATGTTTATTTACAAAAATTTATGATGGCCACTTCCAAAATGAGCGGCTAGATTATCTTCTGACCTGGATGGCCGAGGACTAAAGCTGTGTCGACTCAGCGCCTCTGTCGGAAGGGTCGCGGGTCAGGGTCCCGCCCTGGGCATGGTTGTTTGTCAAGTCCCTTCTTTCATGTATGTGTGTTGACACGGAAGGTCTTGTGAGTCTGCTGACCATAGACCTGGGAGCCAGCATGAGTGTCAATGTAAATATTTTTTTATTATTTTTTAAAAACTGAATAGAGCAAAGTGCGCTTTTAAAAATTGCTCAAGGCGTTTTCACACAACTACAATACCGAAGAAAGATTTTTCTTCTTAATGAAACCTCATCTTCAAAAGTAGATATTTAAATGAGATCACGTATACTTAAAAAAAAACTTAAGTCGTTTTCATGTAATTTCGAGTGAACTAAAGGAAATATTAAAAACACTTCGTGTGGATTGCTATACCCGCACAAAAAATTCCGAGTGAGTAAAATACCCACTCGGGATTTGGGGTGAGAACTTCAAATTCCAAAAATGCCAAATTCCTTAAACGTTCACTACACTTTTTGTACACTGGAATTTGACAACATGCATATTATAGGCACGTGCCCAAGGCAGCAAGATATGAACGATCGGCAAATTTTCGAATCAACTGTTTTAGATAATATTGTTTATTGAATGTTAAATTAAATTTATAAAATATAAAATTTTATGTACAGTTTTACTCTTTTTTATAATGTTAAAGCTTTGTAAAAAAAATTGCCGCAGGATTTGCTCTTATCTTAAAAGAACTGACTTTTACTCATTATTTCCGAAAGTTGATATCGCCTTTCTCTGGAATATGTGTACACCTATTACAAATTGTTCGACTGAAAGATCGTATTCGGTTTTCAAGCGTGTCAAAAAGTACTTAAGATCAACAAAGGGCGAAAGTAGATTAAATTTACTTTACATTTTAGCGTAGAAAAATATATTTTACATAAAATATATTGTGATATTATCAACAAAGCAAATCAAAAAGTTCGACGAAAGGAATGTTACATTATAATTAATTGTTAATGTATGATTAAAATAAGCTTTTAAATGAACTACAATAGCATTTATTTGCAATTATAGTTATGTATTTTCCGCCTTGTAACCCAAAATCAAATTTCATTAAATTAGCCGGGGAGGGGCGATATTTGCTTAGGCTCGAGGGCGGCAATTGCATTGTAATGCATAGGCGACCGAGGCGGGGAACCGAAGCCGGCGTGATACGTCGTGACGGTAGGTGCGGCATACTCGCTGGTATGCTCGCGTAAGGTACTGGTGCATCACACCGAACATGGTAATTAATTATCGGGCCAGCGGTGGTGGTAACCAGGGAAAGTTCCTTCTTGTAACGGTCAATTTATTTGTAAATATTGAATATTGTATTATGGTGTCGGAGTATTTTATTTCTAATAAATACTAAATATTTACAAGCCGTTCACGTCTGTAATTTATTGCCCCGGCAAGACGCCACACTATAAATTCACATGAAAATATTGAAGCAGCGACTAATCAAGAGCTCTATAAGGGATCCATTTAGCCCTTTTGTGACTGATGTGTTCGACACTTCTCACGATAAAAAAAAGTCATGAAATTTGGCGTAAATGTGTTCAAGCTGTTGTTGAAATTGAACTCGAAGAACCTCAAGTTCCACGTCAGAGAAAAGTATCTAAACGGCTTGACCCAGAATCAAGCGAAAGCTGCAAATCAATATCTAAAGGTTTCTTCAGGAAATCTTATTTTGAAGTTTTAGATCAATCGTGACTTTAGAGTCGATTTGATGATGATTTAGCGCATTTAAAAAAAATCGCCAGAATGATTCGTTCTGGGACAGCCTGCTGATATCGATAAAATTGTACAATTTTATGTAAATGATTTCGTTAGAGAAAGATTCCTGAGAGACTGAGCATGTTTCTGAAACTTTTTAAGAGACAAAATAAATGAGCGAGACACTTGAAGGAAGTCATTTGAAATTTTCTGCAAAGGTGAGAATGGACATAGCAAGTTAATGATAATCACGACAATTTGAAAAAAGTCGTTTGTATTTCCACTTCATACATATTTTCGGTGGGAGATGAAAACGGGAGGCGGACACTCACCCGGGTCAATCACCCATTTGATCTTTACACTAACCGCCAGCCCTGTAGACAAGTAACTATTGCGAGAAAGTTTGTGCTATTCTTTAGTTAAGAATTTATTCTTTAACAATTTTATTCATCTGTCAATTATATTTGTTTATAAACTTTTAAAAAATGTGATTTGATTGCCATTGTTCAGTGTTTTAATCACAGAAGTGGAAAAACTGAAAGAACATAATATTAGTTTCGGAATGCTTTAGAAAAAGGAGAATGTTATTACAATTTCGCAATTGTCCGAGATAAATTAAAATGATCAAAATCTATTTTTCATATTGCGATGGCGTTCACGACTGTTCCTATTGTCTTCGAGTCAGATCAAGAATGAATTTCTTCCGTAGTTCGACGCGTACGATTGAAGCGATGGGTGATACGTAACTGGAATTTAATTTGGCGCGTCTTTGTACATACACTTCTTAGTGACTTTTATTTGTGCGAAATTTAGTAATTTTGGTGTTAGTCCGTTGGTCACCCTTACACATTCTCCCCGCAGAAGTCTTATGCACCATCTGTAAATGTAAAATGGCAGGTTTCGTATTTATTGATAAATAAACTAAAAATTGACTTTTGATTCATACGTGCGAGAATTAGAATCTAAAAATATGTGATGGTAGAAGGAACACATGGCGAGCAAGGAAGTATCTGTACAACCTCAGCATTTTGTGGAAGAAATAGATTATCATGAAATACAGACATTAGAGGTTTGTTGATAATTATAATAAATACAGTGTATCTGATCTCTTTTTTGAGGCATTGTTACTAGTTCTACACAGATGTGTTTGTGATGGCAGTGTTGTCAGATGTTCTGGCGGTCTGCATTTCTTTATTTATTTCCTTATCTATTTTCTGTTATTGCTGTGTTGAGAGTTCCTTTCAGATCATGACTATGACAGCTACAATTTTGCACTGTAGATGTGTTTTGAACATTTATTACAGAAAGTGTATATCTCTGTGACTTTGTTTGTACTTCACAATGTAAAATGAGGGCTTTTTGTGTGTCATTCTTGAGGAGAGCTAGAAGTTACCCAATTGCCAAATCTACTGTTTGGATTATGTATCTGTTTGAATTGTGAAGTGAAAAAGTGTTTCTACTTGTAATCTGTGTGTAACAGGTTGTTGGGAAAGGCTCATTCGGTATTGTGTGGAAGGGAATATGGAGGGGAATATATGTTGCTGTAAAGCACATAGACTCTGAAGCAGAAAAGAAAGCATTTGCTGTTGAAGTGCGACAACTTTCAAGAGTCAGTCATCCAAATATTGTAAAATTATATGGCGCTTGTACTCAAAACCCTGTATGTTTGGTTATGGAGTATGCTGAAGGCGGGTCCCTTTATAATGGTGAGTTAAGACATTTATGCAAAACTAACCGATAGTTTTGCATAAATCAGTTTGTCCTTGCTCATATGGTTTATATGTACAGAATATATCTAAGTACTTTTGCTTTAAATATTTAATTTTAAACATAATTTTCATAGAATTTTTGTTTCTTTTGGTTTTGGATTTGTTTTGTTAAGGTCATTTTTTTTATATATGTTAGATAAACCATGGTCTTTATCAACAACAATAATAATAACAATAATATACCTTCGTGATTTTATTGAAAATATTTTATGATAATTTGTACTTTTAAATACCAATGTGTCAAAAAAAATCCAAGAAAGCATCACTCACTTTAAAATATAAGTGGCCAATTTTAACCTCAAAATAGTTTTAAATAATGTCAAATACATTGCAAAATAAATTAAATAATTTGACAAAACTATTTTTTGCATAATAAAAGAATAACTATTGATTTGTTGTATTTAATTAAACTTAAAAAAAAAAGTTTTTTGAATTTGTAAAATATTTGTACAAAGTTGAATTTGATGGTAGTTTGCTTTCGGTTTCTGTGATATAAAAGTCAGAGGATTTGTGACTTTATTACATGAGTGTGTAGTGAAATAGTTTTCTTCCTTACATGATAATTAAAAAATATACTATTTGAACTTAGCGAATTAAATGAAGTTATTATTCTTCCAGTGCTTCATTGCCGACCTCAACCAGTGTATACTGCTGGACATGCCATGAGTTGGGCACTGCAATGTGCTAAAGGTGTTGCATATCTCCATAACATGAAACCAAAAGCCTTAATACATCGGTAAGTCCAATTAATTGAACTTAATTACATTTAATTGAAGAGAAATCTTTTCAGCAATGTGTGAATTTTGTTCCTAAGCATTCTTATTTTATGCAGTTTATTGTAAATTATGTTATTCACTTGGTTGTAAATTCAAAATTTTGCTGAATACTTTATTACAGAAGTGTGTGGTAGTTCAAATAGTAGAAGAAAATAGCTTGCTTCAAAGATAAGAGATGGTTTCATATTTACTGAAAATTATTCATGGAGTCCTAGATCTTAGGCAGTCCATGAAAGATGATGGTAGAGACTTGTATTTTAAGCGTGAATATAAAATGTGCTTTCTTATTATTTAATTGTAATGTGTTATTGAGTACCTAATTATATAATTATCATGATGTGCGAATTGAATTCAATTAAAATTGATGTCAAAATGACACATTGATGTCAAAGAAAATTTGGTTGGGTGGTCTGTGAGCAACATGTAAAAATGATTTGCATTCATTTTACAAATGTTGGAGAACCCAATTTACACAATTCAACTGCTTTCATATGTCTGGGTTAATTTTTTTTCTGGACAAATATATTCCATATCTTTTGTTAAAAAGAAACAATTTATATGTTTCTGGAGTATTTATGTGCTTCTGTAATGCACATTTTTGTATATAAAGAATTTTTCAAACCAAGTTTTGAGTACTTATTGAGTCTCAGCCATTCGGAATGTCTAATGAGTTTATTAGACAAAATATGCTTAAAATTGTCTTAGAGTTAATTTTCAAAATTTTGACATTTCTTCCCAGGACACACTGTATAATTTATATCTGTGAAAAAATACTGATTTGTTTATAGAATGGAGCTTATTTTAATTAATGGCATAATTAAGAACTGTTAATAAAATAAAATAATATTTGTGTGCTAATTAATTGATTGCAATTGAATCACATTATGCCTAAGAAATGAATATATACAATACAATTGCTTTTAATTTATGATGCATTTTTATGGTGTTTATGAAAATAGAACTAATGTTTTGTTGATATTAAATGGGCTTATTTGTATGTTATTCTTATAGGGATTTGAAGCCACCCAATCTTCTCTTGATAATGGGAGGAAAGGTGCTGAAAATCTGTGATTTTGGAACAGCCTGTGATCAGAAAACGTATATGACCAATAACAAGGGCAGTGCTGCATGGATGGCTCCTGAAGTTTTTGAAGGTGCATTAAATTTAACCAGTATTAATATTTGAAGAATTTGTATTAAAATATTCATTACATTTTCCATATGTTCTGGAATATAGTATAAGTGATAATGGGAATAAATTTAGTTAAAACATTTCATAATAATTCCACTAGGGTAATTCTACTACTTTTTCATGTGTAAGTCAAAGTTGCTAATAAGGAGGTAGTAAAAAAGGTCTAAAAGGTCTTTTTTAGTTAAATTACTTTATTGTAATAAAATATAACGTAATGTAATGCAAATCATATAGTATGTAAATTACGATGGCAAGTTATAAAATTCCATATGTAATAATTAAATAACCTCATAGTACTATCAGCATGGAATTTTTTAAATATATCAATAATTCAAACATTAAAGTATTGAATTTTATTTACTATTTATTTATTTACTGTGATGAATTGGCAGTATACATGGATAATGTTAAATTCAGTTTTGGGTTACATAAGAAGGAAAATACCCTGCTCAAAGTATTGTAATAATAATTTAAAATAAAACAATATAGTGTAAAAAGATAAATCGTGAGAAGCACATGGCACAAATAGTTCAATAAGAGTTGTCATTTACAGTTTTTATTGAATAATTTACAATGAATGGTGGCATGTTTTGCAGTCAGTGGTAACACTATCCCAAAAGTGACTAAGCTATTCAGACTATCCAGCTGACCCAAAGTTAGGAATTGAAAATGCACCACTTTCCCAGTTGTGTAATCTCTTCAATTTATTGACTGACATGTGGTGGATAGGGCGAGAACCAAATGTTCATCACTTGACAAACGACAAGGAACCACACTTCGTGTTCAGCGAGTGGTTGTTCGCTACTTCCCGAACAAACCACGTGTCGAGCCAGCCTTTAGTCCAGTGCAGAAATGAAGAAATGATTATAATAGTCCTAAAGACAGCAGGTTTGGGGGTTTCAAGATAAACTTAGATTGATGGTTGTTCCAGATATTTACCTAACCTTTATTTAAAACTATCAACAGTATTTATTTCTTCCATAGAGTTTGAAAATGGATTCCACTTAATCACAATTCTGTTAACAAGGAAAATTTTCGTAGTTTTTTTTATTCCAAAATTCCTTATTTTAAGGAATCCTCTCAATTCTGGATTGTGGTTTGCAAAAAAAGTTCATCCAAATCCCCTATAGAATAGTAACGTGTCATTGGAGGTGTTGAGCAGATTGAATTTTTAACATTTCTGTTGTGAAGTATGTAATTTCAAAACAGCTAGGTGCTCATCATAAATGAAGTTAGGTAACTTGTGCTTCCTTTCTTTGGGAATATTTGTAATTTATTTTGAATGAAAAATGTTTAGGGAGACTTCAATTAAGTTGGGGCCTGGAGCAAGTTACCCCATCTTCCCCACCCACCCCTTCTGGGCACCCCTGCATCTATTAAAGGCCTATTTTTGCAGAAACCGTTGGTACCCACTAAAGACAACTGTGCCTTCAGTACTTTCACTATATCTACTGTTACCACATTCAATGTAGCTCGTGGGGTCACTCAAAGCTTGGACTGGTGCAGTACTAGGGAGCCAATTTGCATCTAAATTGTGGTAGTTGTAGTAGCCTGTAGGTCCATTACACTGTTCATATCTAAATTTTTCCTTAGACATTTCACGAGTTGATTACAGATAGAAACTGGGGAGGGATTCACATTCAGAGGTGATGCATGATTTACTTGCACATCATGCCACAATACAACTGGAAACTTCACGCCCTTTCCTGGATTTGAATCCACTGCTTTGATATAACATTTACTTGGGTGCTGAGCCTCATGCTACTGGATTAAGGCTACTTTACAAGTTATTGTGTTATTTGTTAGAATAAATAAATAATAAAAATAATTAATAAAATAAGAATTGGAAGCTAGATGTTATTCTGTAGCTCTATCTAGAAAATTAGAGCTTGCTTGCTTAAATAATTCTTATGAATTTTTCAAATGTTGTTTTCAGGTTCTAACTATACCGAGAAATGTGATATCTTTAGTTGGGGCATCATCTTGTGGGAAGTGTTGAGTCGTCGAAAACCATTTGATGAGATTGGTGGCTCTGCTTATCGTATCATGTGGGCTGTTCATACAGGGGAGAGACCTCCTCTTATTCAGGGCTGTCCGCCACCTATTGAGAGACTCATGACACGGTAAGTTGTCACAAATTACCATATACATTCGAATATAACCCGCATATTTTTTTCAAAATTTGTAGGGCGGGTAATATTTGAGTCAATGTTGGTACTACAAAATTGAAGTGTGTTGCATGCTGTCACATGGTAGCGTGGGTTATACTTCGGTTTTTGTAATGTGGCGCGCCAGGGCATATCTTCACGATGGAATGTCTCACGTCATCATTTTGCGTATTTCTCGGTCAGTGTTGCATAATTGCCACCGTATGATACAGTCGCAACATTAGCTGCATGACTGAGAAATACCCGACATACCACTGTGAAGATAGATAAGATGAAATGTTATGAACTTTTATGGTATTCCTATTGTCTTGCTTGATTAAAATATTAATTTTAAGGTATTTCAAAATTAAGTATTTGTGTAAAAAATTTAATTGCTTTCTCATCAAACAATGTTTATAATATCAACATTTCTGTAGGAAAACTTCACATAGATTCTGAATTTGAATTTTTCTCTTAATCCATTAACTGTTGCACTATTTTTATTAAAAGGGAAGGTAAAATTAATGAGATTCAGTTCAAATTAAAACTATTTCTAGCTGATATGCTTCATTTAATTTTTTGTGAACTCTTAATGTGTGTGAAAATGAGGATACTGGTCAAATGTGTCACTTTTGAAAACCAGCATTGCTACAACTGCAAATACAGTTCTTGGTATTTTTTGCAACAGGTATTAATATTATCTGACGTAGTGAGCAGCATGGTGATAAAAGCTAGTGGTTTACAACAGCACATACTTTCTCTCATTAACAACCGCTCTTGCAATACTATATTATTTCTCCTACACCCACCTTCATCACAGCTAAACTCTTTATAAAAGATGAACAATTGCTTTTGCATTTTTCAAATATTCAAAAATTTTGATTTATGTATTTCAAATCTAGTTTAAAAGAACAGATTTTGTTAAGAAAAAAATCTGTTATCTATACTATTGTCATTTTATGATTTTTGTTGTTGAATAATGTTTTGTTTGCAATATTCGATAATACAAAGAGTTTCCCAAAAATGGGTCATGAGCCATTTTTAGCAAAAATTACATGAAACATTACTTTTTTTTTCTTTCCAAATAAATTTACACTTCCTTATTTAAACATCAATTTCTTTTAGATCATACTTCATTAAGAAAAAAATCTTTGTCATAAATATTGAACTTTTGCTATGTTCATTTTTGAAATTTTTGAAAATAAAGTGAGTTTGCTGAAAATAGGACTATCCACCATCTTTCAGAGTCCTTCACTGTCCTTGAGGCTTCGTGTAAAGTTACTCCAATATTAAAATATCTCTTTCATAAAAGGGGAATATCAATTATGGTGAAAATCCTGCTTATGTTTAGCCCTTAGCGTTGTTCACATATGAACAGACAGACGGAAACAGACATACAGACATTTTCCTGTAAACCTGTTCTCTGGGATCAAGGACACAAAACATGAATCGACTTTTAATTATTAATTTTTTCTGTATGGTGTGGGGTGGCTCCAAAATGAATTTTTTCTTCCAAAAAATCACTGATTTTCACTCCAGCATTATGTCACTTTCTCTTTACGATGTATGTTGTACACCATAGAGTAAAAAGCAACAAAAGAATTTTCTTTAATCTGTGTATTCCAGAGTTAAATTTGCCACACATTGCACCCTCATTGTCTTGACCTTTTCCGCAGGTCTGTTTATGGAGCCTTCTGATGGCGTTTGTTAATGCAAGACATGAATACTCCCTTACCAGGAGTGAACAATTAATTAAATACAACGAAACTTGTACCGAATATGTCTCTAATAGACCTCCCTTGAGTAATTTCACTTTCCCTGACTGTTCTTTATTAGTTTTAATGTGTTTCACACTTCTATCTAGTGGTCAGTCTCTGTAATGAACACGGACAGCCAACCACCAACATTTTTGTTCAGAGAGAATATATTCACCACAATTCTTTTTTCTTTTCCGATTTGTGCCTAACACTCTTCTGTTTCTCTCATTCCTTTCTTCCACTTCAAGTTATCAATAAAAGGGACCCATTTTGTTTCTGAAACAATTACTCTTAATTCTGATTCCACAGTGGAATGCATAATTTATTATTGTGTTTCCTTATATTCAAGAGCACATTGAGTGTTCTGTATTCTTCCTGGTTGTAAGAATATTAGTCATGTATCAATCACCTATATTTATTTGTCAAAAGATTTTGTTATTCTACCTGATACTTTTTTGGGGCTTTCTGTGTATTTGTTTGTAACTCAGTTCTTCAGGTGAGGCTAGTTCTCATCCAAAGGTGAATTTTTGTTGTTGTTCAGGTGTTGGGATAAAGACCCATCAAATCGACCTACCATGGAAGAAGCAGTTCAGGTGATGAATCGTCTCTTCACATACTTCACAGGCTATGATGAGCCTGTGCAATATACAAATGATGCTTCTACAGGTTAGTTTATTGCATTACCTTTTTTTATGGAGTTAACATATTTATCAGTGAATCGATGATCTGTATTGTAATATTTGTATGTTTTATTTGTCAGTTAGAATGTGAATGCAAAAGAGATTGCCACATCTTGTTGTGTGAGTGATTCAGTAGAAATGGGTTTTGTAGTTGTGGAATACATACATACATACATACATACATACATACATACATACATACATTCATTGTCATCAAAACAGTCACTCACAAGCATGTTTAAATAGAAAGGTTCAAGTATTATGGATAATGATACAAATAAATACCTATCTAATTACAATATTAAAACAAATTAACTCTTCCAATTTTGTGCAACTGAAACAGATCTTATACAAAGGACAATAAATTTAGGCAGCTGATGCCGTTTTTGTGATCTCTCTACCAACAAATCTCATCTCACTCATACTTTTCACTTTTGTGATCACTAATTGCAATTATCCAATTTTCATGTAGCAAAGTCAGCTCTCTGGGAGAGGCTCATGAGATGACCACCACATGTAGGGAACTGAGAAAAGTGATCCGTCCAAATATATTGTTTTCACCATAAGGTACCAAAAAACTAATCAGGAGGAGGACATTCTTCTTTGTTCCGAGTTCATAGCTTTCTTTTTATTGTTTATGTTTCGAAATTATCTGGATTTCAAAGTCCATTGCAGTCAATCAGAGGTGACTAGTGTTTGTGTTCCTAATCGAGTTGGTTGTAACTTTTGTGATAAAGAAAATGAGAGAGAAGTTCCTAGCAAGTTACAGAATTTCCCAACAATATGTTTTGCCATACTGCATATCCAAAAAAATTGCTAGACATTTTTTGAGGATAATGCTATCACAACTTGGAAAGTGTACTGATTTAAATCCTGTGGAAAATCGTTTGGCTAGCAACATATTGCAAAAAAGTTACCATACATCTAAATTAATAATGATGAAGTCACTTATTCACTGTGGTTTCATGGTGAATAAATTAAGATAACCTGTAAAAAATTGATTGAATCAACATCTGAACTGTAATTAAAATAAAAGGTCATACTACTTTTTTATGTGTTCACCTGTTCTAGGGTTTATAAAGATTTTTAATTTTTTTTTAATATAAAGATATTTATATTTTTTTCTCAGCAATGTGTGTAATATTTTTTCTTAGCATTCATTTGAGAAGTTCATTATGTCTGATTGTCATTCTGTACAGTCAGTGACATGATCCTCTCTTTTGTGGCCATTTTAAAAAGTTCTGAGTCTTCCCCAGCAGGATCGAGACTTTCTGGCAGGTACATGTCTAACTAGTAGGCACATGTTTTACTGGCAGGTACAAGTCTTATTGGCAGATATGACTTTTACTGACAGGTCAGAGTCTTGTGACAGGTATGAGTTTGTGAGCTAGTTCAAGATTGTGTGTCAGGTTTGAGTCTTTTTGGCAGGTATGAGTCTTGTATGAGTCTTTCAGATTGAGCAAGCCTTCTTGACAGAAAGTCTTAGTAGCAGGATCGAGTGTTACAGGCAGGTTTAATCTTCCTGGCAGGTTCATGTGTTTCCTCAATATCCCATTGCTTCCATTGCACCATGGCACAGTTCATTCAATCCATGGCGCAATTGGGGTGACTGCAACCATTCTGTATTCTGAACCTTTTCCCTGTCATAATCTAATTGAATGTATTGTTGAAGTTAGTTGTTACCTTATTACTCAGAGTGTTCAGGCTATTTCGTTTATTTCTGAATCCTTTGAAGTGGATTGTATTGATGAACTGCTAACGGGCGGAGTTAGGCAAGGCTCGCACGTGTGTTTTTGGGAAAGCTGAGGGTGGTTTCCGGTGACATGATCTTATCGATGCAATGGTTGGGTGCTGTGTCAGTTACAAATCAACTGTCCTGCCTTGCATTGTATGAAATAAAATTATATTTATTCTGTGTTGCTGTGGGCCCGAACATAGAGTATGATTGAAAAGAAAATCAGTGGATGGGATACCAGCACAAAAATGACATAAGCTGCCTAAATTATTTGTCCCTAGCGTAGATCTGTGATTCAGTTGTAAACTCAAGAGCTGCTACAGTATAGCACAGACTTTCTTATACTAGATAGTTCCTGTATCTCTTTAGAGTGGGCTAGTTTTTCGGTTTTGCCCCTCCCTCTTCCCAGTTGCTGTGGCCATTGACATCTAAAAACATTTTTTTCATGTTTTTGCAATTTTTCAGTGCCCTAATGGTAGTATTGAAATATGGCTTTAACAATATTATATAAGAGTAAAACATGATCCAAATGTAAATTTTCAATAAAAAATTGGAGCTGTTCTCGAGAGAATGTTGTTTAAGCAATTCTGAAGATATGCAATTTTGTGCTCAATTTCGCAAAAATTTTGTATTTTCTTGAAACTTCACAAAAAATAATTTGAAGCACTTATACTCTGAACTCCAAGAATGTAAAAAGAAAAGAGAAAGAAAAAAAAAAAGAATAAGAGCCTTAATGTAAATATTTACAAGAGAGATATTTTTTAAAAAATTCATACAAGTAATTTTAAAAAAAATGGAAAGAATGTATCAAAGTGGCATTGATGTCATGTTTTTCAGTGTGCTTAGCATTATCCGTACAGAAAGATGAATAAAATATTTTTGGAACCGTTTTTAGAACTTTTTTTTTATTTTACACAAACTGTCCTTTATCTTCATTAATGTAGTTGTATATCGGGTCCATACAATTTCAAATTTTTGAAAATTCAGAGTTAACAGCAAACATTGGACCTATTTCATCATTCATGTATATTGTATATTTTTGGGGAAATTTTGAAAATGATCCTGGGGTTTCTTGTAAAGTGTCCCCAATATTTAAGAAATCTTTTCAAAATCATAGGACTTTGAGAGACAAATGGATGGACAAATACTTTGAGGAAAAATCAAAAACAAACATTTACTTGTTATCAGGTGACCCCTAAATGTGTTTCTCCATTGAAGTCTTCAAATTGATTTCCACACATTATATAACTTGCTCTATACTACCTATATTATTCCATGTATGTGTGTGAAGTAGTATGAGGTAAAAATTGGAACTGCTAATTTGTCTCAATATTAGATCGGTATCATTATCCACAATACTTGTATTATTTTATTTAGACATTTCATTGAGTGTCTATCTAATGTCTTGTCAATGAAACTATTTTCATGTCCTAGTGTGTATATTTTCCACAATTACTAAAATATTATCAGTACCACACCGTGTTTATGACAAAGAATGCATGTCCTTTGGGATGATTAACATTACGTCTGTTTAGGGTTAGTGAAGCTCTTTGATAGCAGTACTATGTGGCCAAGTGCTGCTAGGTTAATTTAGTTTTTAATTATATGTAAATGTATTATGTGCCTTTTCACAAATATTTTTTTGAGTTGTATAATATTAGAGAAATGTACCTTCATTAAGTTTACTGATTTGTCTATGTCTTATTCTTGAACAATAGTTCAAATTGCAGATGAAAGTGAAGGTGATGATACTATAGGATCACAAAGTGAATTTCCATCCAGCCCTGAACTGTCACGTAAGTGTTTCTGCAAAGTAAATAAAAATATTAACAAATCTCTAATGACAACAATTTTGATATTAATTCAGAAATTCATTAAGTCAATTGAAAATTTTAAACTGGAATGAGAATGTTCAATTTTTTCTTTTTAATTTTCCTAATCTGCCATGTAGACATTCTTTTTTAACTTATCTTCTGTGAAACCACAGTTGAGCAAGATTGATCATACCACTTGATTCATTTTTAAATGTAACTTCTTTACAAAGAGAAGTAGCATGTTTTAGAGCATGTGAAAAGACACTACAAAATTGTCATAAAATTTGGCATTCGTACTGGTCCCCTACAGACATTAACAATATTGTATGAAAAAGCACATCATAGTCAGTCTTATCACTTAAAAATGATTTCAATACAACTAAATTTGTAGAGATAATTAAGAATTCTTGATGTAGGCATGTTCAGCCTAAACGAGAGAGGGGCCAACTATTTATCTGGGTTTGACTGAGCTCCCTTTTCCATCAAATGCTTTTATTTACTCATGACTTATTGTACAAGAAAATAAGTAAAACAAACAAGGATAATGGAATTATAACTTCAATGATACAATTAATAAATACTATTGATTTTATTTTGTATCATTTAGGGGGTTACCAGATGGTTTGTAGAGTCTCTTCCCCAAAAGACATGAATCAATTTCCCAAATTGTTGTCTTAAAACTTAGGGAAAATAAAGAATTGTTCGTATTAACAGAAATGTTTTATTATGTATGGTTATGGGGCCCCCTTTTAAAATTTTAAAGGGATCATGGCCTATGATTCCAGAACTCATTTTGTTGTTTCTACGGAAAGAAATTCAAATTTTTTAATGAAAATTCATCATTAGGTATATTTGTTTTGATGCAAAGAATTACTTTTATTATTCCTTAGTTTCATTTGAATATTGTAAAAGAATTAAGAGGTTTTTGAACAAGTGACTGAGATTATTGTGCAAATATTTTTATGTAGTCAATTGGAGGATAACATTTTTGTGGATTAGACATCACTATTAGATTCTCAATGTGAACCTCACATCATCTCACCAGAATACATTTTTTTGAGATGAAGTTCACTTTGTCAATTTTTTTAAAATGCCCATAAACATGTAGTTAGAGTTAATATATAGTATATGTGAATTAATGTAGTCATTTGTATTTACGACAGGGACGCAGTTAGCTGTTGGCATGAATGGGTCAGTTGGAGTCTTGCGACCAGATCTGCCATCTTCCGTGCCTGTGGGCAAGCTGCCATCCCCTATTGCTGTTGAGGTGGTAAGCATCGTTAAGAAATTATAATTTTGATTTTTTCAATTGCTTTGAAAGATTAGTTTTTTAGACCACATTGTAGAAAAATTGTTACAGTCTTATGTATTTATTTCAATATACATTGATTTCTAAAGAAATCAAATTATTAACTTTAGTGCGCTGTGAAAGTTTGGTTCGATGCGTATTGTTGATTTACATGAAAATTACACATTATCAAAAATGTAAATTTTACATACAAATGCATTTACAAATATTATATTATAAATTTTATATTAATGCAAACAAGCAGTCTTTTTACATAGTACAAATTTCAAAAACAATAACTTCACCCACGACAAACTAACATATAGAGTAGTCATTGCTATTGACCTGTACCTGTGACCCTCTCTAAGCGTGTGTTCAAAATCGAACTGTTCCACGATTGCTTCTACACCTATTAGTGCAGGATGCTCCTGGCTCTCTCCAGGTTCTTTGTCTGTCTTTGTCATTGGTAATTGGCTTTGCCTTGAGCCGCAAAATAAATGTCTTCACTCAGGGGAAACCAATCTTCTGTGAAATGACATGTGTATACATTTGTCTACACCAGCATTATGTGGGCATAATTTTGGGGTAGATAATCTGGGGAGCCACTGACATCGTAAGCCCTTGATGAAATAATTAAAAATATTGCTCTGAATTGTCTGGCAAATTTGCGGTGAATACCGAGAATACAACCACAAATATAATTACGTACTGTATACATTTAATTTTTACCATCTTCACAGATTATTGTTACATACACAAATATTTACAAGTTTCATGATGTCACTTTAATTGAGAATTTATTATACAGTTAGAAGAAATAAGTCTTTACTAATGTAAGTTGGAAATTTAGTATGCCATTTCAATCTTAAATAACTTCCCTATCTTGTCCAAATTTGTAAGTGTGGTTATAATTGTTGCCAGTGTGATAATATGGTGGTGATTGGTGGAAAATTAATTTCAATGTGTGGAGTTTTGTAAAGTACCTCCCTTGGGATATCTTTATCATTATGTTTCTGTCTGTTATGTTTCAGAACCCTTGGGATACTGAAAAATCATCGGATGAAGAGGATTTGGAAGATGAGAACTGCCCTCCAATGGTGTCTGGGGACCTTGTTCAGAATGGTGAGTAACAAGATTGTTATCTTACTAATAATAATGAAATGATGTCCTGGTTGTGTTGACCAAATCTTGTGCTTTTCCTTGAAAAATTCATGTTCACAATATTACATTACTTTTCTCAACTGCCACAAAAAATTCCAGTTAATTGTTCATAACTCTTTTTTGGTCCAACTGATTACTGTTGGTCCAAATAACAATCAGACACCAGGTCTGATTGCTTTAGGAGAGCTAAAATAGAGTATAGTCAATTCAGGGTTGCTTGCAATTAAAGCAAATCATGTGTAATTGTAATATTATGGTCAGAAAAGTCATTTTAGTGATAACAATATTAGATAATAACAAAATCGAATAATTATTTAGCATTTATTTGTGTAGGATCTTATAACAATCTTTTCTTGAAGAATACTGATTAATGCTGTGTTTTGGTTTTAATTTTAATATTTAGTGTGTTTCTTGTTTTCCTTTTTAAAGGTAGTAGATTATTTAAACAGTAACTTGTAACGTAATGTAAACGAAATCTTTACCCTTATGGAACTATACACAACAATTAATGTGCTCCTTACCAACCCATCTTAGGGAGAAAACACCTGCTTCCTGCTCTCCAAATGAAATGTGATGATAAAGGTAATGGGAACTAAATGCAAAGTTTATTAGATTCTTGACTGTCCAGAAGATGCTGTGAACTAAGCACAGTTGTCAATATTTCGGCTGCCATACTGCAAACGTTTGAGTCGTTTCAGGTGACCCGGACTGAAGTCCTCTACAGTGCTGGGTGGTTTTGTATCAGCCATCTGCCTTCCTGTTTCCCAGAGGAGCTGCAGTCAGGAAAGTTTTAGGGTTTGGTAAAGCTTGACAAGGGTTATTTCGCTTTAAGATGAAGGGGTGTGGGAGAAAGGGTAGAAGTAGAGAGGTTGTTTTATCTTGGTTCTAGGATGAGGGTTTCACAAGGAGATTTAGAAAGGTTATTTTTTAAGGTTGAGGTCATGTTAAAATTACATTTTGTTACATCAGTCTCATCAATGTGCAATGTTTTTTATAGGTATTGTTAGGTTGGTGGTGAGGGAGGTTTGAGTATATCAGAAAGGTGTTTCTTCTGGGTGTGACTAGCAGAGTTGATAAGGATATTTTACTGGGTTTGGATAAGGTGAGAGAGAATGGGGTTTTTAACAAACTGTTGCATCTTATTGCAGGATGTATGGAAGATATATTGTGAGAGTAGAGTAACTTTGTACTGGTTTCAGATGTTGTAATTGGTATCTGGAGTTGGATCTGGGATGGAAGATCTGGCAGATGATTCAATTTTCAATTTTATTAAGATTTATAAAGGAAGTGTTGGGAATAGTGGACCATGTGGGGGAGGTATAGGTGAATATGGATCTGATATACATGTAATAGAAGTATAGATTCTTCTCTATGAGAAACAGAACAAGGGAAGCGGATGGATTGAAGGATGATTACTTGTTGGTGAGCTTTAGAAGTAATGGTTTTAATGTGGGCTGTCGAGATTAATGTAGAGTGAAAGGCAATGCCTAGATATTTGAATTTCTGGAGCCAAGGGATAGAGATATTTATTGTTGTAAAAGATGTATGTTGGAATAGAGAATATCGCCAGATACAAGGAATTGCGCCCATTGAGGACATTGGAGATGAATTTTCTATGAACCAGTGTTAGTTAGCAACCATTTTGTAGATTTTAGACTTGCCTTGTTAAGGAATTTGTAGAGTGAAAGTAGACAAATCAGCTGGCAGCAAATCATTAACTCGATGAACAAGTGAATATTGTTAGTTACAGAGAAAGGAAGATGGAAAAGACAGTACTTTATGAAACTCCTGGGATTTGAAGGGGGGGAGTACATGACATACTTGACAGTTAAAAGTTCTGTGGGATTAAGGAGTTGAGCGGCAAATAGAGCGATATTATATAATTTGAAAAGTAGAATTTTGTTATCAGTGGCATCAAAAGCGAATGAAAGGTCAGTGAAATGAGCTGAAATTTGTTGTTATGAAGTTCTGTGACTGGATATGAGATGAGTTGAAAAGGATGAAGATCTGTCACATCGGAAACCAAATTGGGGGTTTCAGGCGTAGTGTTCAAGGACATATTTCATGAATTTCAGAAGGGTTTGGATCAGTTAACTGCTGGTTTAACTGGAATCCTTCAACTGTGCAAAATTGTGTACAAATTATCATTACTGAAGAAAATTAAATTTAAATTACATGTGGTTAATTCATTAATCAAGTCAGTGGGGAAAAAGCAGTCAGTCCCTATAAAGTAGTGGTGCAAATCAGTTGTTAACTAGTTGTCATGTTAGTTTTAACATTGTCTTCATTTCCTTTATGGTGTAAAGTTAATTTCAATAAACTGTTAAAAAATCAAGTTCTTCTCTTGTTCTCGTTTTGATCTTGTTCTTGTTCTCATATAATCCAATATGAGAGACTCAACTGATGATCAATATGACTCAATATCTCAACTGATAATTAATTTATAGTGATTGTATTTGTTTAAATAGAAAAACACAGAATTCTGCAAATCGGTGCAATATATATTTCATTAGACAGAAAGTCATCTTATCCTAGTACCTAGACTGTTAACAAAAACGTATTCTGTATATGACTACTTAGGTTCTTGGAATCATTTAAATAAAAAATAAACTTTCTACTACACTTATATAAACAAAATGAGAATGTTAATTTCTTCTTTTTTAATGATGGTTAATATTAAATTTTAAGAAATTATTCTGAGACTTTTTTAAGTAGAATATGTAATTAATAAAAACTTCGTTAGAATACTTCATTTGCTTTTGGCAATTGTTTTTAGAATTTTAATGCCTAATATTACTTGTTAGAAAATTCTTTTCTACATGTTTATATATTCTTCAGAAATAACTTTTGTAGAATTTAAATACTAAGAGAATTGGAAATTATTCTATGTTTGAGCTTTTGCTATCTAAGTCATCTAATAAATATTGAACCACTGGTACAAACAATGGAACTATATCTACTTATTGTTTACTGTGAATTTAAATAAGAATTTCATGCAGTATAACCAAATGGATATTGATAGGTTAGAAATAAATTTACCATGTGCTTTCATGCTCTTCAACAATTTTCTGTGGAATGTGAGGAAAAAATTACAAATATGATTTTAGATAAAAAAAGTAACAAAGATAATGTATGAAAGAGCTTCCAAAATTAGTCTTTTGATAATTTGTTAAGTGTGAATTGCTATGTAGATGATTGAGAAAAATTCATGGATTTCGATGTATCTCATGACATATTCTGGGCATGATTTTTTTACATTATTTTCGTCAATGGGTGAAATGTATGTGTTTTCCTTTGTGAATGATTATGTAGTAATAATGTTTTGTTGATGTTGCTATTGTTGTTGGTCAAATATTTTATGGCTAGGTTTAAGAGTATTGTCACTGATATAATCATCTAGAGATATGGATGTTTGACGTGAGAGTATTTTTTTTAAAAATGAATTGTGTAGAGTTTGTATTCAGAAGCTTTCATTAAAAATTATTCATTTAATAAAGATTTGAACCTCTTAAAAAAACTAAGCATTTCTAATATTTATCAATAAAAGTTAATTATTTTTTTAGGTATAATGTAATGAATTATAAAACATCTATAAAGTACTCTTCATACTTGTAGTGTAATGTAAGATAATTAAAGAGTTTAGTATTTTTTTGCTATTGAGGCAAGGTCTTTGAAAGTGAGTTTATTTCTGAGTGCCGTGTCTTATTGGAGTACATGAGTTGCCTTGCTATAGTTGTAAGTTTCTATTATTGCATTCAACTTGACTTTTTTCAGTGCTCTATTTTATGCCCATGGTAAACACTGGCAATTCCAAGCCGCTGCTTTTATCGTTTGGAGAGTTATTCTTAGGTCCATTCTTCTGTTGTGTGTTTTGTTCTCTTTGGTGTTGCATTGTGCGGCCTTTAAGTAGGGTAGCCAGATTAATTGTGGCTATTCCACAAACTCTCCCCATTTATGTTCATTTTCGAGTCATATGAAAATATTACATCTCTAATATTTAAATTATTTTTCACCCTTGCAAAGTTTATTATTTTATAAAGTTTTAATTATATTCTTTGAGGCTGCAGTATGTTTTGGCTTTAGATAAAGAAGCAAAAAAGGAAGAGGAGGGGAAAGGGATTTGTATGTGTAGAATGTTTTGCTTGTATTCTTACTTTGAACATATTATTGGTGTCCATGTAACACCATTTCACAAGGGTAATAATTATTCACATAGAGTAATAAAACAATTATTGCTAACACTTTGATAAATTATCTTAGGCAGTTGAAAACTTGCAGTGTATTGTTTTGCCTTCTCCATCTTTTCTTGGAACCTTGAAAACTTGTAAGAACAACTCTTAGTATTATTCACCATCATGTCAGTCTGTTTAATTTTGGTTAAAAAGAACAATGTTTTGTTGTGGCTGCAATTAAAAAAGTCTCTACAAAACAAGATTTCAGGAATTAAGTGAGGATTATTGAACTAAGCATTTGAATACTGAATTAAACTAGGTGTTTGACTTCATATCTAAGTCTTTGAGATTTATTACAGTAATTGTCCAAAGGCAGAATGTTCATTGGACCGAACCACCGGGTGTAAAGTCCTGTAAACATCACATTCCTAGCCAAGCGATTTCATTTAATGACAGCTTGGAAGCTTTAATGTACTGTTCCACTTGCGGTGACACCGGCTGTACGGTCCCCCTTGGCAGCAAGCCCACACATGAGTCAGTGGCAGCAAAAACTCTGGGGAGAGGGTAGGATCCCTGCCTGAGCAAGTGAAAGAAAAAAAAAAAGGGAAAGGGAGAGAGAAAAAAAAAGGATGCTGGAGACAGGCTAGCTAGTGGAGGCACGGCCGCTGCCGCTACTGGCATTCATGATTCCCAGAAGCTGCGTCCCCGCTCGTTAGACTTTGCAGCTGTTGTGTTTCAAGGAATAGGTGATGAGCCATCCGCATTTGAAGATGTTCATTACTTGCTGGTGCCAAGTTCAGAATGCTGTTACACGGGTTAACTACCTTGCATTGTCTTCTCGGGGGCATTAGTGTTTAGAGTCTCGGGTGGGTGATCTGTTAATGATGTTTTGTTTTATATCTCTGGTGTGAATATAATACATGAGCTATGTTTTCCATTTATTTTGTGTCTTTTTTTCCTTCAAATGTTTCTTCATTGTTTGTTTTGTAATGTCTCCAATATTATTCTCCTATGACTATATTTGAAACTGTTCTTACTCTATTAATTTTCTTTTGTGTTTGTGATGTGAAAGAATAAGGTAACATTAAAAGTGTCATATTTGTTTAGTCTTCAAAACGTTTTACCTGGCCTCTCAGAATTATTCTGAAAGGAAAAAGGCCCTTCAGAGATATTCTGTAACAGTTCTTCTGTATATTCTGTTTTTATATTGTTACTTATTGATAATTGTTACCGTCACATGTTGGACTACATGCCTGTTCCGAAGAGATCACACAATCATCCTGTCACTGTTAGCTATTTATTAATTTAGTTACGCTTATTTCGAATTACCAAATACTGTGTGCTGGATGCATCGTGACCATTGCTTAGAAAGGCGTCTTTGAAGATTGAGGTTCTGTTACGTATACGTACGTATGTACGAATTCGATCATTTTACATTTCTTCCGAAGAAAAAAGTGTGTGTTGGCTCATGATTTTTTCCAGAAACAACGGCGACTTCGACTTTTGTGGTAATGTGTTATTGATATCTTGAAATCAGAAGTTTCAGTTTTTTTTATTCCGTTTTCCCCCATCACGAGACACGTTTAGTGTTCCTTGCCGCTGCTTTCCGAATCTCAGACGCTTGTCGGCGATTTTCTGAATCGATGAAATGGACCATGGATTTGGTGATCTGCGCTGAGGATGGAAATTAGTGATGCAACATTGATAACAAAACATTGATGTACATAATTAAAACATAGGTGCTTTTCACATCGAATGTTTTTAAACATCGCCGTTTTAAAACTAGTTTAGTATCCTTTATCATTACATTCGGGTGCAACAAAATTTACGTTGTCTGTGGGCGTGTTTATTAATTTACAATTAAGATTTAACTGAAAACATAGTAAAAGAATAGTCAGAACAATGTACAAAGCTGAGTCCGAAAGACTGAGCGCCCAGGTTTATCTTGAAGGAGTCAGTTCTCAGTTCGCCGAAGAAGATGTGGGAAGGAGTGGGGAGGGGCTACTCCCAAGAAGCACACGTTTACCACCTTTCCGTGCGAAATACGAGGAAAGACATAGGAAATTCCAGGCCACCGGGATCATCAGCCGGAAGAGATGGACTCCTCGACAAAGGAAGTACAAATAATGTTCGTTCAGTTCGAAACTGAAACTGACATCACTTAATGTTTCCTTTACAAAACCGTGATTAGGAGATTTTTTTTCTTTTCTTTTTTTTTTCGTTCATAAAGTCAACATCGAAAAGTGGAAACATCGAGCGCAAAACCTCGATGCTTCTAAGAAAACATGTATTATATTTTGTAATTGTCACTATCCCGGCCGGGGTGACAATTATTTGAACAAATTTATTTATTATAAATTTGCAGACATCGATGTCGCGACCCTAAGGCATCCCTGAGGATGGACAGGGGAATAGAGGATCTCGCGCGGTCCGTGGCCTGTTTTTAAGGCATTGCGAGTTACAGCATTCACCTGGAGGTGATCAGGGAAAACACTTTTCAGAGCCGTGGGCCTGCGAATTCGGCAGGTGCCGCAAATTCACGGAAATTAAACACAAATATATTTCTGGCCTCTTGCAGGAATCGCACTCCCGAACAATAACTGGTAGGCTGGAGCTGTAAGGCGTTGTCTTTGCGTTCGCCACTACCGGTGTTGGCAAATTTCTTATTTGTATGTATGTACTTGGCGCAACAGTCCGTGAACGGGCTCAGGCCTACCGGAGACGTCCCTGCCTCGTGGCCATGGGTTAAGGGGGTACGTGTGGTTAACACTACTAATACTGTGATATTGCAAAAGAAACGCACAATATAGTCTTGGCTCGACCGGGAATCGAACCTGGGGCAGCGTAGTGGAAAGCGAGCACACTAATCAAGAGGTAGCCATTGACCCAAATTTATTATTTAGAGATTAAAATGTAGAAAGGCCGTTCTATACAATGCGCGGAAGGGACGGTTGGGGGTTCGAATTCTGCCTAAGATGTCACGTTCTAGCTAATAAAACTAATAGCACGTATTGTAGCTGTTCTACGGTTGACATAAGTTCTTCTTTAGTAATTTATCAAGGAAACATTATTGAATTATAAAGTGTTAACTTCAAATAGAAAGGGAGGACTTTGAACTGAAAAAAAATTGAGAACGTTGATAATCAGTCATTTTAAAATTTAATCCCCTGAAAATTTAAAGATGATTGACACTGATTTTTTTGCGGGAGAGTTTAAACTGTTGTTTTTTTTCCTTCGAAAAGCATTAATGCCGTAAAACGATAAGAGAAATTGAGGACATTGAGGCAGTCTATCAACTCAACATAATTACGAATTGGGTTCATTTTCCCACCCACGCAATTCGTGAAACATGGGGTGAATAGTGGGGTAATTATGACGTTTGACTTCACTTTTGTAAGTTCATTTTTCCGCAGGTTAATTTAGATAGCTCTTCAACTTACCTTGCTATTTTGCTGCAACATGTGATCGACAAGATTTCTCTCCGGAATTCTGTCCCCAAACCTCCGTCTAGCTTGTCTAGCTTGTTAGATATTGCTGCTTGGGAGAGTGTGGCTTGGGTACGCATATTTGGAGTCTAACAATCTTCCACTAACATAACTGAAGTTTGTAGTGACGTCTTGAATTTCTCGGGAGCACCGTCCGACCAAAGATCATCTTTCATTTCTGCGTAACTATGATTAATGATACTACAAAAGAACGAACGTGTTCCCTCGAGAGATATTCGTGTAGCTATTCTCGAATACACGAGGATGTCTCACTTCTTGATTAATTAGTCATAAAGTGTTGTAGGAGGAGAGTAAACCTGCTAGAGATGTAAAAGCAGTGGCTCGAAATAAATGGAAAATAATACTGAAATTGTAAATGTTTTCATGCAAGATACGCAAACATACCTACTTTTCTTTAAACTCGGCGACCTTACTATGTACGAGTTGTTGATAAATAAAATTAAATAATACCCAAAAACGTATGTTCTCAATATAATTTAGAATCGATGAACTATACTTCCACGTTCTAAATACTCCATTTAAAGTTAAGGTTGCCAATAGACGGTTTCAGCCCCAAAAAGGTGTTCACATTTCTGCATTCTCGTTGTGTTGTGTTCACAGAAACTGAAGTGAAATAGAACTTTTCTATTTATTTAACGGGGAAAAAAGTGTTCTTGGGCGTACGGTTGCTTGAGTTCCAGAATCCGCCCCCACTAACTTATAATATGTTTCGTTGAGTTATGAATAAAAATACCAACGAGTGTTTTTTGCAACGTTTGATTACAAGAAAAGGACACTCCCTTCTAATCCTTATTTAGGAATCGAGTAACTTCCATCCGTCACTCACGAGGAGCTACTTCCGGTCCATCCAGCGAGACAAATGCAGTGTCCTTTTATACGTCTCGATCTCCCGACGGGAAATAGTTCTTTGTTTTGCGGGTCTATCCAGAACATTCTAAGACATGTCTAAAAACGTGTTTTTTAAGCGACTAAAACACGTTTTGGATTACTTATGAGTAATACCTATAGAGGTGATCAGTAGTTCATTTGATTCCTCTCATCTAGACAAATCGATTGGCCTAATTCGTAGCCGGCCCTCCTAGGATAACCTTGAAGAATTAAAAAATAAATAAAAAACACGTGTTTTTGATGGTTTTGTAGTATGTTTTGTGTGAACTGCACTTTACCACAGAATCGGGTAAAATATCTGGCCTGAGGGACAAACAAATAAGAGAGTGTACATGTATTAATATTCTTACATTTAGGGTAATCTTTCGACATCCACGGCACTTCGCCTCGTATTTAGATGTAATATCGGTTTCATCTTCATTTTTCACTTTTTAACATTTTTTATTTTGATCATCCGTATTGCCAAAGCATTTGTTAATATTTAACTAAGGCTTTGGTACTACTCAAGCGATAGCGTTCAGGAAGAGAGGACTTAATATTTGACAAATACAAAGATCAGCAAGTTAGTAGAAGCGGAAGTTATAGTAGAAAGAAGTGGCTAATCTACAGAAGGGTAATTGATTTTAATTAATAATTTAATTAATTATGATTGAATTTTAAAACCATTCTGGATTCTGGAACTCAAGAGAACGTGCGCAGATGATCTCCCCCATACGTCACATATAGTTTTTACTTTTTTTTTTTTTGACTAAATAAATCTAAATGGGAAATCGAAACGAAACGCATTATGGTAGGTAGCTGCAGGAAACGGACCAATATACCCAATTTGTTTCCACCTCGTCCTGCCCCCCACCACGCGATTCCCCATTCCACCCCCATCCCCACCTTACGCGTCGCGCTCGCCGGTCCGCGGCGCGGGTGACACTCGCGCTCCCAACAATGCGTGGAAGCTTCCACTGCTGGCAGGCAGAGCGCGCTGACTCAAGAGCAGCAACAATGGCCCACTATGCCGCGCCCTCTGGAAATAGCGCCCCCGGGGGCGAAGGCGGGGACGGGCGGGGAGCGGGAGCGGAGCGGAGCGCGAGGGAACGAGCGAGCGAGCGAGCACTGACTCATGCGAGGCCGCACCAGCCCGCGCGCCGAGCTCTCTCCCGGGTCACCGGCGTCCCCGCCCCGCCCACCCAGCCCCGCCCAGACTTTACGCCACGCCCCGCCCCGCCCCGCCCGCCCCGCCCGCCCGCCCTCGCCCCGCCATCCACGCCCGCGCCCGCCCGTAGCCCGACGATCGCTTGCCCATCGCCCGCCCGGCCCTGGCCGACCGCTCGCCTCGCGTTCGCTCTGCGCTCGCTCGGCGCTCGCCCATATCGCCCGCCCATCGCCAGCCCTTCGTCCG